AATCTCATCGAGCAAATCCACGATGCGAACAGGATCCTCGTGAATACCCCACACAGTTCATCTTGCTGTGACATATCGCACGGCCATTGCCACCTGCTCCCGCCCAACTCGGTTAGTTATCTCTCCACCAGCTCACTATAGAAGCTATCTCCTACTGTCCGCCTGATGTAATTCGTGATGCAGGCGGCGGCGCACCCAAGTCTCTCGTTTTCAGTAGCTTTGGAGATTAAGGTCGCATTGCTCTGCGAGTCTCCATGCGTTCTTTGAGGACGCCGTTGCCATGTCGCATGCTCAACTGCAGCATGCTTCGGAAGTTCCGTCGTTGTTTGGCGGCTCTCCCTCGTCCGCGCTGAGGCGGCCGTCTTCCCGGTGCCCTCTCATGGCGAGGCTTTGGCGGCCACACGTCAGGATGGTGTCGACGATGGGCCTTCACGCGGCACGGCTGGTTTTGGTCCCCGCTCGTCGCGCTCTGTCCGCCTGACTGCTCTCGTGTAACGCTCTTTATTCTTCCCGGTTCTGGTCAGCAGCTCGGCTGCTCGTCGCTAACAGCGACGAGTAGCCGTGTTGCCGTGCGACCAAACCCAGCCCCCCAATCCCTTTCAACGATACGGCTGAGACGGACTGGTACCGTGGCAGTTGAACTCATTTGTAATGCCATCGATTTGCCATTGAATTAATATTTAATGCACTCGCGTGACTGGGGAATGCTGTCCTTCCAGGGGGCGCTGCCGGTTTCTTGGTCGCCAATACCTACGCATGGCGTGGGTGGCAGGTAAAGTTTTAAAAAATTACGACATTCATAATTTGTTTTGCTTTGAAGTGTGTAGATTGCCACACAGAGATGACCTCGCGTTGCGTGGACTGGCAAGTACCCGGGTATTTCTTGTTATGACGCTATGCCTGAAGGTGGTCATTTAGCTCCAGGGCACGTGATACTGCGGTGGCCGGGTGGAATCTCGGCCGATGAACTACCGCAATGCGGGACTAAAAACGTGTCACGTGGTAGAAAATCGTAGGGAGCGTGGTTTACGACGGTGCTGAAGTGCGGGCAGCAACACAGATGGGAATCCCATCCTCTAACGTATTCGATTTGGTAAGTTGTTCAGTGAATTCGCGAGGAACATTATTCACATAGATAGTACAGTAGTAATAGCCTTAATTCCTTGGAGAAAAACCAGGAGAATGGAGAAGTAAACTGCTTGATTTTTCGGCAATAGCCTTTATTGAAACAATAGCAGAAGTCAATATTCGATTTCCTTTGTCATACTAGACGCTAAAGGTCCACTTAGATCCCATTATGCCGCACGGGCGCTCATGAAACTGCAATGCTTTGTCTTGAAACTCGTGTGTTTTGTGTTATGCATGTCTTGAAACTTAAATGTCCGGAGGTAACGTATGCATCCTCCAAATACCATGGGCGCTCAATAAAAACACCAAGGTCACCCAAGGTCCCCCATTTTATAACCGTTAGGATGGCATTTTATTCTTTAGCACCTTTTATTGTTCTCGTGATGTTTTCAGGCCTTTAGAATGTTCTTTTACTGCCCTGAAGTGCCTCTCGAGAAATTGTATGGGCACAGTTGTATTTGAGTGTGTTCTAGCCCAATGCCCATTTTCATACCTTAAGGTAAGCCATCCGGATTTTCCCGTCCATTGCCCTCGGGACCGCCGCTGAAAAATGTTGTGTCCTTAAGAGGACCACCTTTGGACTTGATATGGGACAGATCACTGTCGATAAGATCGGCCGGCGGTTGACCACCTGCAACAGACTCAGCTGTGGCTCATCCTGAACACCCAATGGGCCATCTGGGGCAGCTTTGCACCCACGATTTAACTGATATGAAATATCTGATGGCTAGCACTGTGGTTTGCTTCTCTTTTGCCATTGAATTGACAACCCAGTGCTATCATGGTCACGCTTGTGCAACAGCTGTGCTTGTCACACAACTGTTATCTGGAACAGCCGGCATCTTAAATAGCTTACACATATTGCAGCCCTTTTTGCATCCCAATACTCCTGTTCCTTAGTGAAGAAACCTAGCAACAGTAAAAAACTGACCTTACATATAAGGGAGTTTACATAATGAAAATTGGACGGATAGATACCTTCGGGACACTATTTGATACATCTTCTGCATTTCACCGCGGGCCGAATATTCCGTTCCTCGGCGTATGCGTTGGCGTGGGGGTTCGGTGAAGCGTTATGGAAGGGAGGGGGGGGGGGGCTTGGGGGGGGGGCTTAGGTCAGTATTCGGAAAAGCTCAGACCCTCAAAAATATATCAAAATGTTCCCCTGCCTTACAAGTTACTCAGCCGACCGAGACCCAAAAACGGAACATGTCCAGAGGTGAAAGAATGCGAGAAACATGCTGGTGTTTGCCGAATTACCTTTTCTTTTGAAATTCGGACATTATAAGGGCGAGAACATTTCGTCTCACCATTCGATATGGCCCGCCTAAGGGTAGACATCGTTCTCTGAAAGGTTGCCCAATGATCTGAGCAAAAACCAGAAATATGTTTGAGTTGCCTTGGGCACGAGCAACACCTGGTTTTATCCCGATTCTTTATTTTACCCTCGGTCGAAAGCTAGTTGTGGCTGGGGCCTCTTAGTCCCCCTCGTCGAGAAAGGGTGCAAAATGTTTCTGTCAGCCAAGGGTCAAATCTTTGAAGGCATCTTAGGTGGTCGTCAACAGCTAAAACCGTTTATGTTGAAATGTCTTATAGAAGTGAATCAGCAAAACAACGTTCGCATTTCTGTGACAGCTGTGTTTTGACCTTCCTTTGCTAAATATCAGTAGCAGCGCATGCTTGGGAAGATCGGCTTTGTTTTGTGCCCCACATCGGCGACACATCACATGCGTCGTGGCAAGCGATGTCTCGTCTCTACCTGTAATAATGTCATGCTGTGCCAACAGCAAATTATGAGCACATTTGCTTACAAGATCCGATAGAATCTGAGTGTGTTCAAATTTTCTGTTTGGCCTGGATTGTGGTTTCAATTATGGGGAATGGCTTGTGTTGTTTTTGGGCTGCACTGTCCAGGAGGAGCAAACGTCATTCGTCTGACCGAAATAGCTCCACAACTGTCCAAGAAAGCGCTAGTACATGCAACATCAGGCCGAACACAGCAGTCAGTATAAGACATGTACGCTAAACGGGTACAACCAAACTTTTGGAGAATTGTACCAGCATCCAGCCGTGTTTGGCGACGTCGCAATTTGGCAGAGTTTTTCAGTCAACATCGGGCTTGTAGTGCGACGCATCGCGCCACCTTGTGGTGTCCTGTTGTGACTATCAGCTGCTCCAGCGGCATCCCTACGACCAGCCTGGGATCAGTCCTGTAATTATGGGGGACAGGGCACGTACGCATGCATGGTGATGCGTGCGTGACGGTGATGCCTCTCGGGGTCCCAGCGTGACGGTGATGTCTCTCGGGATCCCAGCGTGACGGTTGATGTCTCTCGGGATCCCAGAGTGACGGTGATGTCTCTCGGGGTCCCAGCGTGACGGTGATGTCTCTCGGGGTCCCAGCGTGACGGTGATGTCTCTCGGGATTCCCAGCGTGACGGTGATGTCTCTCATTTCCAGATGCGTGCCAACAGCCCGAGTTACGTGGTGGATGAGCAATTCGACCTGCCCATACTGGTTGCCTTATTCTTAGCCCTGTGGTAAGTGCATGACATTGGTGTGGTAAGTGCAGACATTGTGCCTGTCCCACTACAGCAGGATCTGTTGACTAGTTTCTTCCACTCCAGAAGAACTTAAGAGCTGACTGGCAGCACTTGAACAGCCCGCGTTCAAACTGGTAACAGATCTTGGATATCTTCGACAGTGAACTACAAGTACTTTTCACGGCAGCTTAATGCACGTGGAAGTTTTCAAATGCTTTCAAAACTATATTTTGGGAAGATTTGGCATATACCAAACGCTGTTGACAAGTGCATTGCTATTTTCATCCAATTTTATTGACATACAATAGCGAAATCACGTTCATCGAACTCAAAATAAGCGTATTATGCAAAACAAGACCGTTCACAGACATTTGTTTCTTCAATACGTGCCTTTAATTCACCTAAATTCTAGGATAATACCAGGGCTGGCAACTGTGTGGATGGGTCGAGGCATTGGGTCGAGGGTGTCAGACGCAGACCGCGTTATCATCGTCTATATCGGCATAGTGTGGAGCAAGGCTGGGTTGAGGGTCGTTTAACTCAAGGAGCACTCATCGTGGACCATGTTTAGGCACGAAACCACTGCACGTACCGCATGGCTATAAGCAGGAATAAGCAGGAAAAGGACCAGAATATAGGGCCTGTTTGTCGAGCCTGCGTTCGACGTACTACTGAACCCAGTTAAAACGTTTCTGAAAATTTATGTAGAAAACATGTAACGCCATAATTCCCCGAACAATTAGAACCTTGCTTAACCAATATTATCAACAGACATTTCTACGCCAGTATGTTTTAACATATTTGCCAATTGCCAGCCAAAAATCTTTCATAAAACTAACGAATTATATATATATAATTCATCATATATATATATATATATATATATATATATATATATATATATATATATATATATAATTCATCGCCCTTCCGCCACGGCGCCGTGGAACGCGACCTTTTCACAGCCCTAATGTAAAGCTAAGGAGTATGTGGAGTAAGGAGTACTGCATGTCATTTCAGGTAAGCTTTATGATGTGTTAGCAATCACTTCTGGCAATACGGCAGTTCTATGCCTGCATTCTAAGCAAGTGTTTCCATCTCTGTTTGCTCACCAGGTCAGCTGACTAACCCAGGTACATGTCATTTCAGTTACCTCCTGATGGGAGCAGCAATCTTTCAACAAATAGAAGACTGGAGCTACTTCGAGTCGCTATACTTTGTGGTTATATCCATGTTCACAATCGGCTTCGGCGACTACGTTATTTCGGTACGTTTGCAGTCAGCATGAAAAGAATGTTGCGCCGTGGGCCAGTCTGACTAGAATGAGAATGTCTAATTAGATCTTATCAAAGAAACCCTTCTCAAGGAATGCGTTGTCCACACTGCACACGGCACATCACAGCAAAGCTTGGTCCCCAAAAGCAGAAAATAAGCAAATTAGTCTTGACTAAGTCTGCAGTCTAAGTTAAAGTCTGGTCGCGTATAGCACTCCACCTTGCAACCGCACCAGCGCGCACCAGCGCCCCACCCCGCACCGCACCAGCGCACACCAGCACTCCACCCCGCACTGCACCAATGCGCAGTAAAGCAAGTGTGCGAGCGCGTGTCTTCTTCTTCTGGTGCACTAAAGGAAGCGCTGTGAATACATCTGGCATCCAGGCCTCGACAGTAATCAGGTAGCCGGGCCGAACCGGAGCGAGCTGGACTGCGAAGTTTTCACGCGACCCGGCACGGGCCCGGGGTCTTGCATGTGGCGTGAAGATTCGGACGGTGCACTGTGGCCGCGTTTCGCGTGAGAAAATGTACAAAGTGCCATGGTCTCAACATGGATGTTGAAAATTTGCCAGCAACCGGCAGTAATGGTGTGTTGTTCGGTACCGATATCTAGCAAGCTGATCGAGGATGAATGGTCGTTACCATCCACATAGCAGGAATGTCTGTATGCAAACATCGACAAGGGCTGTGTGGCTGATATTATTTCCCTATTCTGCCGTTATCGACTTCATCAGACATGCTGGACATGTCAGACATGTTATCAGACATGTGGCGCTACATCAGACATGTTGGCGCTACATCAGACATGTTGGCGCGCAGGAGTGGTGGTACGACCGGGATTCGACCCCCCCCCCCCCCACCCCTCCCTCCACCACCAGTGTGGGAGCTGAAAGTGATAGTCATTCAGCCAAAACACCACCATTTTTAACTGATCGAGTGGTCGTGAACTTAATTTTCAAGCTTGCCCTACATCGCTGCGTCTTTGTTTTTTAGGGGGGTCCGCCTGTGCACCTCCCTCCCAAAAAAGAGTGGGGGAGGGGCTGCAGGCCGCTTCAACATGTGACCGGATGGTCAAGATGCGGAATAATGGCAGTATGAGGGTTCATCACACGGTCACTATCCTGAAATCTGCCGCTGCCACCATCCACCACGCTGCCACCATCTGGCTGCCCTTTCCTCCGGGTCGTCGGACTTCGGATCGCTGGCACATATTTGTGTGAATGTCAGCACCTGGTCAGGGAACGTCTGCACGGCTCAAAATCGATGGCATGACTCCTTGAATAACCATGCACGGTGCATAGCCGACGTTTGCCCTGGGCGGTCACACCCTGTGACAGTGGCACCGTCAGGGTAGCCAACTTCAATCGAGGAATAGCACAGCGCGTGCTGTGGCACTAGCGGTGATCCAGCCGTCCCCTACAGGGCGAGCTGGTGAGCCTGTACGGTGCCGTACCCCGGCACAGTACAGGCTCACGCTCTCCTATTGTAGCTCTACACAGAACAGACACGCTCGATCCGTGGCGCCGACGTCGTCACTGTTCATGGCCTGAGCGTCGGACAGCACAGGCTCTTGACAACGGTCCGCGAGCCAAGCCGCCTGTCGGCAGGCGGCGGCGCGTCGCTGCTGCTGACGTCAGGCAACTTCCTTTTGAGCTCGCTGTTGTTCCTGCTCCTGAGCGGCTCGGCACAGCTGTATATGCTCGGCGTGGGCTCTGCCTCTCGCTCCTTCAGCTCCTGTGCAGCTCGGAAGAGAGGCGGTCGCTCGCTGCTGGCATGTCGCTCCGCGTGCCGCTCCTCCCCCGGCCGCGGAGCCCTCCGAAGTCGCCGCCGCTCTGTCTCTCGTGGCAGCGTCGCTCGGCGTGCTGCAGCGCGTTGATCGTCCACCGGTCTCTCGCTGGCGTGGCGCTGCGGTAGCTTTCGTCGCCTCGCGCTCACATCGGGCGCGATGCTGGTCGTGTTTTGTTCGTGACGACTAGACGCTCTTCCTCTGTCATACGGGCGCGGCGGCGGTGCTTGGCGGAGCAGTGGCCGCCATGTACCGCATCGTCCTCTGGCAATTAATTAAAAGCCCTCATTCCAGGCTGGGAATAAACACTCACACTGAAAACGCTAACACCAAAGCATTATTGTTTTCCCTCCATTTCCAACATAACGGTTGTGCGAATAATTACAGTGCAACGATCACAAATTAGCGTTCGACAACTCCGGTTGTTGCATCACTAAAAGTTTGTGTACTCTTTTACGCTCCCATTGTTGATAAGCATTGCGAATTACATATCTCCGATTCGTAAGTCAGATGCGGCTGTGTGCATCGCTGATTGAAAGAGACATCAGCCGACAATCTCAGAGCGCTCGCAATTATGTCAGTCTGTCAACGCGCCCGCTGCTGTCACGAAGAAGGGTGAGATTACGTCTCGCACCTCTCGCCGTCGTCTCGGAGATCGCGCATCTTCAAACTGAACAAACGTCTGAGCCGGTTTGATGTCATGGGCTTAACAGTAGTGGTCGCAGCTCTTACAAGTCACGAGTAGCGACCTGCCAAATGTTACTGGATGGACAGGTAAACGGACCTTTTGTTTTGAATCGTATGTGAGAAGGGAAAGTCGTCTTATGGGCAATGTCAGCGAACCACTTTTGCATGCAAGTGTGGGTCCTTGGGGCAGAATTCAAGAACGATTGTTTTGTGGCCGTATCGTACCACTTCAATCCAATCAACTCAAGCATTCTGTAAAGGTCATATGAAGGTAAGCTGTGGCTTTTCCAGGCTGCTGCTTGCAGCTTTATGACAAACCTCAGTGTCACTGGGGAGCGCTAGTGCCGCCCCTGGCGAGTCGTCGCCTGCCGCCGGAGTACATCGCCTCACGTGGGCTCAGCTCTCACCGGCTGCGGACGCCGGTGTGGCTGGTGCGGCACTTGGCGCCACGGCCAAACAAATGTAAGAGGCAATCGTTCCTAGCAGGCTTTCCTAGAACGGCGTGCTGCAATACACAGTGATGATGTGGCGGATTCGTGGGAGAACGAAGCTCCGATGACGTGCTATATTTGTTAAGACATTTGGTCAGCACCGCTTGAATGGATGGATTTCTGGGATCAGCGCTCACGCTCAGCGGTACTTGGTGCGTAATCCCTGACCGTACCAACCGGTCGTGCAATTCCAGGTCAAAGGCAGAAGTTGGTGGCAAACGTTTAGCATGTCGCAGTGCTCGGCCCAGTCCGTCCTGCCCTCTGACGCCATCTGACCTTTAGCGCGGGCAATTCCACGGCCACAAGCCATGCCGCTCGGGGGCAAACGGCGAGTGCTTAAACCGCCTTGAACCCACCCCGTCACAGGTGGGTGGATCGGAAGCCAGGCGCTCGAATCAACTGAGCTATGGGAACGGACATTAAGCGTGTATAAGGCGCATATAAGCGTGTTTTTGCCCCAAACTGCACTTCAAAGCAACAAAGCCCACACCAGCAACTGCCCACTGCATGTTTGGCCGCATAATTCATCGCGACGATGTCCAAACAGCGCAAGGTTCACTCGTTCAATTCTAGACCACCAACAAACTACGAAACTACGCAAAACGCGCCGTAATTGCAAACGCCACTTCACTAATGTCTCAGGCCCAGCAGCGCCTCTCTCCGCGGGTGCCGACGCCACCAGCGGCCCGAGTACTCCCACGGGGTCACGCCATCGAATGCCCTAGAGGCTGGTAACACGCCGTTCGCTGGGCGCCACCAGGGACAACAGCCGGGCGCGGCGGAAATGACTGCCACCAGGACGTCACGCTAGCCGCAGCCGCGTGGGACACGGCACGCCGCCGTAGTCCCCTTGACGGCCGCTCGTGCGCCGTGTCGTGGCACGGTCGATCCCCACCACCAAAATAGACGGGATCACCAGGCGTTTAAGTCATTCCCCGCAGAAATGACCAGGTCTACTACCTGGGCTCGGACTATTACAGCAGGCTGGTCCTTACGTGGTAGATCAGCACGCCATGCAGTATTTTCCGAGGCGTGAAGCAGGTCGTTGCGGTCGGCAAATGCAGCCGATGGCGGATTGCGTTGAAGCTTTGGTTTGTTTGGTATTTGTATGTAATTAAGGGTGTCGCGACCATGCGGCCTAACTGATGCACGCTGAAAGAGCAGCGTGAAGAGATTTGTATTATCAGAATTGAATGTGGAGGTGATGGCGTGCACACACAGAGTCAATCATTTATTTCAGCTTGTAACATCCGGATAGAGCGCAGTGTGAGAACTACGCGCTAAATGATGACATATCTAGATAGATATCTTTTAAGCATAAGAGTTGGCTTAATGAGAGAGTTTCGACATGCTTTTCGTTATTTCATGATAATTATTGGGGCTGTACGTCACACCGACTGCCAGAGCGATTTCGAGGCGGGATGTTTTTATCGATTACCATGTGGGATGCGCTATTGGTTTTGTGCGACCCGAACCCAAGACCGAAGGTCCAAAGACGAGCATTCTAACAATTACACTACCTCCGCTCGTTATTTTTTTATGAAAAACCTATGATTTCCAACGGCGTTTTCAACCCCGGCAAATCCAAAAAATTCCAATTATGCTGCTCGTGTGTCTTCCCCCTAAACACAATGGGCTAAACGGTGCCATTTTTAGAGTTCAACAGATGGCATTTACTTTCCGTGTGAGCCGTGCTCGGGAAAAGACAAACAAAACAAAAAAAAAAACACGAGGAAAGAAACTGCAGAAGACAGACAACCACCGGACAAGGCTACACCTGATCCGGCCGGATCAGGTCCGGTCCATGCCCAGTTCCTCCACAGCTCTTGTCGGTCCTTGTCGTCCCACATCGGTCCCATCCGCCCCTGTCTGGTCCGTTCTGCGGCGTTCCATGGCTTGGCTCAGAGCTTTTGCTGTTCTCCTCAGCGGCGGTCTGGCTGCTCCATTGCGGTCCGGTCCGCTCCGTTTTATTTTGTTCAGGTTCAATCCGAAATTCGATTGAAAACGACGGGAATCGACGGTCGCCCG